TTTAAAATATTGCGCAATATATTGTATCAAATATATCGTCGATGATTATTTAGTATCGGTTCCTAAGCGACATAACTTGTTGAGATCTCATCAGTTTATTTATTTTCAGGTACCTAAACTTTTTCTGGAGTTTCATGAAATGTTATGTCGTGAGCTTTTCCAAAGCTCGTTTCCTCCTTATTATGATCATTTGCTCCTATTATTTTTCAAGGATTGTTAACTTTGGAACCGATCGGTTTACTACGCTTCATGCGTGCAGTAAACTTTATCCTTCAGGGACTTCAATTTTAATAGAAACATTTGTAGCTGAAATATGATATTTAATTTTGGATCAGTAAATGCTTCTGGCATTTGACTTGAATTATCTTCTAAGTGAGGATCATATTAATGATAATTCGATTCATATAGTATATTTTCGAGCTGTTTATTCTATCCCCCAAATGTTAGAAAAACTAATTTATATCCCCAATCTTCTTTGGAAAATCTATCTTTGTGCATTGTGGTAGAGAAATTAATCATATACCACACATCAAAAATTATTAGATAGTAAAATATTTTGGTTTCTAATCCTAAACCAATTGTAAGGGGAGGACTTATCATATTTTGTTGGTCTGATGCATACAAGTGTTGTTGTATGCAATTTAGAAAATCTTAGACCAAAACATGAGGATTTGTTCTCATAAGCAATAGTTTAGCTATTAATAGGAGGTATTCAATGCTAAATTAGCTTGGATATAAACCAGCATCATCAAGATGAACTATCTTGATTTCATAATCTGAAAATTATGCTCTTAATTGAGAAAGGCAATTTCAAATGCCAAACTGCAGGTTGACAATAAACACACATGTAACCATCTCATATATGCATCTATACGTGGTTCACATGATAGGTGAATGAGCCCATATTCACCTTTTATATATTCTAGAATTCGAGAATTTTAGTCCCAACTTTAGCTGGTATAATCAATTTATTATAAGAACAAGCAACACAAGAGAATTCTTGAAGAATCTTCTAGTTCTTCAGTATATGCTTATCTGAGTTCTCAAATAGCTCATTTAAAAATGGCAAATGAAACTTCAAGTTTATCATGGCATGTGCTATCTCTAAGTAAACTTCTGGTTTACTATGACATAAACTTTTGCATCAGTAAACTTTTGATTTACTGTGACTACTTTTGTATGAGTAAATTTCTGGTTTACAATAGCTACTTTTGCCTCAGTAAAACTTCTGATTTACTGTGACTGCTTTTGAATTAGTAAACTTCAGGTTTACCGTGATACATGATGTAGTACAAATTGAAGAATAAGGCGTGTAACTTCTCACATACATATTATTTTACCCCTATGATTGTGAAAACATGAAGATTTTCAATCTTCCAATCATTTGTGATCTCAATATGATAGCCATTTGTATTAGTAAATTTCGGGTTTACTATAACATATGTTTTGACCATAATCATATAATATGAATGACATATTTGTATATAAGCTCTTCGAGAGCCTTCATTTATTATCCACAATCTAATATTTATCAGACACTACTGATGTCATGTGTCTTCTAGACAAACAGTTAGTTCTTCACGCATTTTTGATACATTTTGTACTATCAAATATTTCTCAGACACTTCTGGTATCATGAGAGAAAATCATAATCAAATTAATAATATAAAGACAATTCTAAATTTATTAAATGACAAAAATTAAGAAATTTAATATTTCTACCACTACATAATATTTTTCTGCTTCAGGAGGAAATTTTAATTGCTTACTACTTCAGGAGCAAATTTAAAATACAAAATATTGAGTATATCATATTAACTCTTCTGGAGGTCAGTTATAATATATTCATATCAAGAGCGCGTTCATATTTACACGCTTTATTAACATTGCCACATTCACTTATGGGAATGAATTAATATTTATCAAAAATTCTCATCCTTCGGGGAATAGAATATAATTATCTGAACGTGCATTAACCAAATCACATTGTGATAATTTGAACCTCCTTTTAAGATATTTGCTACTTCAGGAGCAAATCGAAGCATGTATGTAATATGGAGAATTTTCTCTAACTTATCTTCAATTGTAACCATAACAAGCCTAAACTATCACTTCTGGTGGTCATAGGCATATACCACTTCTGGTGGTTAACAAAATTTAGTTACAATGAGATATAATAAACATAACCACTTCTGATGATTGTACTCGGCTAGAGTTCAAGTGAACTATGAAGTTAAGTTATAGCAAGATTTAGGAAATATTACCACTGCTGGTGGTTATATATTTCTTACAAATTCTGCCGGAGTTTAAATGGATCTAACAATGTCATCCACTTTATAGTTTCCTATGCAATATTACTCTTATGGAGTAAAATTTAAAATTCTAATTCGAAAATGTGTAAGTGAAAACCGGAACATAAAGATATACAAATTATAGTGTTTTAAAATTCATAGAATGCTCCAGAATCTCGTCCAATGATTATGGCTCACTTACTAAGTTCCTAAATACTTTTTTTTAAAATTGGCAGTAGCATATATAGCAAGTAAAACACATGATAACTTATCGTTGATGGTGTCTGCTAAACCTATTACATAGAGATAAATTTCAGTATCAAATACTCAAGACATGTAATTTTTACCCGATATATCCGGTGCTACAAATTCACGTTTAGAAAAAAAAATGATATTATTTACAAAAAGAAAGTTCGTACCTTTGATTCTTTCAAAGTATTTGCTCGAGATGGCAGAGTCTCGTACTGATAACGTGTTATAAAATAAAGACTATAAAAGAAATAAATCGAAGACAAGTATAGATGGAGATTGATATTTTTATTCAACTTCAAACTTATGTTTATAATGAACTGAAAACTCCTCTATTTATAGAAGAAAGGAAGCAGTTGCGAGGCTTTTCTTGAGCTGCTTGTAAGCTGTCTGCATGAGCTGCTTGCAACCTGTCTGCTTAATAAGAAGCTGCTGCAAATCATTTTATTGAGTTGCTTGCAACCTGCATGAATCAACTGCTTGTAGATAAACTTCAATAGAGTACCAAACGGATAATCTTCTTTAGGAAGATTATCTATAGCGGAGTAATAAATAGACATCCACATTATAATTATTTTCATAACAAAAACCTCTTTAATCTGTAAGCCCTTTTTCTCTCGCTTATCTTCATAGATTTTCTTTTTTCCATCAGCGTTCTAATCCTTGGCGGTACTGTCGTTTTGAAAATCCTTTAAGATGATCCTTGGTACCCCGAACGTTGGCAATCCAGTACATAATAAAGTATTGCTGCACTGTCGTCACAATTTCTCAGAAAGAAAACAATAAGAGTGTGTTTGGTATAACGGAAAATGTTTTCCACAGAAAATATTTTCTTAGAAAATAAATAGTAATCTTATTCATTTTCCGGTGTTTGATACGCAAATTAAGGAAAATAACTTCTCAATAATATTCATAAGTATTTTAGATATAATAAACATGAAAGTCATAAACTTTCGAGCCAACAACCTTCCGAACCGCTAAACTTTCGAAACCGTGAAATTTCGAACCCGTAAACTTTCAAACACATAAACCCCCAAACTCATAAATTTGGAACTTGTAAAATTTCGAACTTGTAAACCGAAANGAAGGTTGAGAAGGAGTTTTGGAAAATATTTTCCCTTCTCTTGATAAGGAAAACATTTTCCTCCGATCGGAGGAAAATGAATTCATAAGGAAAATATTTTCCAAAACATTTAAACCAACCAAACATGAAAAAATTGAATATTTTTCCTTCATACCAACACACCCTAAGAAAACGCATGAATAACATAGTTGAATTGGGTAGAACTTATCCTTGTTGGGTGCTTACAACATCAAGCAAAGGGGCAGCCCGGTGCACTAAGCTCTTCTATTCTACGCAGAATAATAGAGATTGTTTTCACGTCCTTCATACCAACACACCCTAAGAAAACGCATGAATAACATAGTTGAATTGGGTAGAACTTATCCTTGTTGGGTGCTTACAACATCAAGCAAAGGGGCAGCCCGGTGCACTAAGCTCTTCTATTCTACGCAGAATAATAGAGATTGTTTTCACGTCCTTCATACCAACACACCCTAAGAAAACGCATGAATAACATAGTTGAATTGGGTAGAACTTATCCTTGTTGGGTGCTTACAACATCAAGCAAAGGGGCAGCCCGGTGCACTAAGCTCTTCTATTCTACGCAGAATAATAGAGATTGTTTTCACGTCCTTCATACCAACACACCCTAAGAAAACGCATGAATAACATAGTTGAATTGGGTAGAACTTATCCTTGTTGGGTGCTTACAACATCAAGCAAAGGGGCAGCCCGGTGCACTAAGCTCTTCTATTCTACGCAGAATAATAGAGATTGTTTTCACGACTCAAACTCGTGACCTTCTGGTCACATGACAGTAACTTTATCGTTACGTCAAGGCTCCCCTTCGCTTGCATCAAGCAAATCTGAAATATATGTCTTGCATATACACTTTTTAGCACTTAACGATGGTTAAGTGATAAGGTATTTCATTATATACTTTTTAATACTTAATCATGGTTAAATAGTATCCATTTTTATTTTGATTAATAAGTATTTACCGTTGGAACTGTAGCGTACTATCGTCACTTTCAATTTAATGACATTTACAGTTTCAGAGATTTTCTTTAAATTTGACTTGCCCTAGAACTTTAGCTTCAGTCCGCTGTCTTAACGTTTTATCTGTTAAAGTTTATTAATTCAAAAAAGTAGATAAAACGTTATTGCCATTAACGTTGATACTATTTTGGTAACTTTTCTAAGATTTATGTTAGTTTTGTTAATTTGTTTACTTAGTAAACGTAGGAATTAAATAAAGAGTAGGAAACCTAAATGGTTTAGGATTTTATATTTGCTAAAAAATTTTGAATATAGGTTTTTCAATTTCTACTCAAAGAAGGTTTTGCACCATTATAAGTAGAGGTGTTGCTACCTATTTTTCTTGTGGTTGCCTCCTACCCCTTTCTTTTTCTTGTTTGCTAGATTTCTTCTTAATAGCCATACTTATTAAATTGGGACGTGCGGATTATGGATCAGAAACAGCCGGAGGAAGTAATGGATTACGATCACAGAAAGGTGGGTGACAAGCAGGATCTTTTCTTTTTTGATGAAGTAAGCCCTAGAAGTTGTTTCTTTCTTCCACATGGTACTCGAATTTGCAACAAATTACTGGATTTCATAAAGAGTCAGTATTGGAAGAGAGGCTACGAGGAGGTTTGGAGTCCAAATATGTACAAGATGAAATTGTGGGAAACTTCTGGTCATGCTGCAAAATTCAAGAACAACATGTTTGTGTTTGAGATTGACAAACAAGAATACGCGCTGAAGCCAATGAACTGCCCCGGACATTGTTTAATCTTCAATCACGGTGGTCGTTCCTACAGGGAGCTACCACTTCGTCTGGCTGACTTTGGGGTTCTTCACAGGAATGAGATCAGTGGTTCACTTGCCGGCTTAACGCGCGTTAGGAAATTTGAACAGGATGATGCTCACATCTTCTGCAGGGAGTCACAGGTTAAGGATGAAGTCAAGGATGTCTTAGATTTCATGAGCTATGTGTATAAAATATTAGGTTTAACTTTTAAGCTAAATTTATCAACAAGGCCTGAAAACTCTATTGGAGACAAAGAAACCTGGGAAAAAGCTGAAGGTGCTCTTGTGGAAGCATTGGAGGAGTTTGGGAAGCCGTGGGGGAGAAAAGAAGGAGATGGAGCGTTTTACGGTCCGAAAATTGATATCACAGTTTCAGATGCAATGAACAGAGAGTTCCAGTGTGCAACATTGCAGCTTGATTTCCAACTTCCGGAAAGATTCGAACTTACATACAAAGCAGAAGATGGAAGTGACGAGAGACCGGTTATGATACATAGAGCTATACTTGGGTCAGTTGAGCGTATGTTCGCTATTCTTTGTGAGCATTTTGAGGGGAAATGGCCTTTCTGGCTTAGTCCTCGACAAGCAATGGTCTGCCCTGTTTCCAACAAATCTCAGTCGTACGCGCTTGAGCTCCGGAAGCAGATACATGATGCTGGTTATTATGTTGATGTTGAAACAAGCGATAAAACACTCCAGAAAAAGGTACGAGAGGCTCAAGAGGCAAAATATAACTATATTCTGGTTGTTGGAGAAGCAGAAGCCAAAAGTGGGCAGGTGAGCGTTAGAGTGAGAGACAATCGTGATATTCAAGTCATGACAGTTGATGACCTCCTCCATCACTTCAAAGATATAGTTGCATCATTTCAGTAGGAGGTGTTATATTCAACAGAAAAATCAGTCAATCATAAGAACCCTTTAGTCTGGAAGAGTTGATAGTCTAGCAGAGTTTTCTTTTTTTCCTTTGTTTTGTTTGGTACGAACGATAGATCTTTTGTTTCTTGCTTATTTTCATACTTCTTTTTCATCAGTCTTCTTATCTCTTGTGGTACTGTCATCTTAAAGATCCTTTAAGATGATCCCCCGCACCACAAAGTAGGCAATCCAGTAAATAAAAAGCATTACAATTGAGCTAATCCAATTTTCTTTCTCATCTTCCACCAAGTATTCATTCAAACGATCCAAAATTGGATACGAGTCATAGTAATAAGAGTGAAAATTTCAGCATATCAGAATAGTTCAAGAATGGAGAATCACAATTGCAATTTGCAATATCAAAAGAAGCTCACAAGCACTGTAGTAAATATCTCAGCATATAAAAGAATCACATTTTGCAACTTCGCACTCACACACACGCATCCATCTTAGCTTTTAGCACTTTCTGCTAGTTAAATGCCAAGCAAGAAGATTGAGGCCATGAGATGTTCATGGAATGTCTACTAGCAAGTCAGTACCTTGGAACTAACTTACAATCTGAAAATAACAATGACCCCAAAGTGGAAGGCTAAAAGCATTGTAAGTACAGAATTTGCAGAGATAGGATATATAATAAGAGTCACGTACCATCTCTTCCTTGTTGTTGTTGCTAACATGGCGATTAGAGAACAGGCATCACAGAAATAAATATTGGGCCATCATACACATCAAATCAGCATAACATGCTGTTATAACCGTTAAGCTGTGTAATTCTTTTGTGTGCAGTTGATATTGGAAACTAATAAAGTTCAGAAAACCTCTTGCTAAGGGTACATAATTTTGGGACCAAGAAAAAGTGAACCAAAACAGTCTTGACTGTGTATATTATTTCAACAATATTTCAAACAGAAAAATCAAGATTGCTTTGCTAATAGCTAGGAAGAAGTACCAGTTTGCTTTCTGTAATTCAAATTTTACCAAGTGGTAAAAACTTTCAAAAGTTTATCGGCAAACATTCAGCTTGCTCTACCAACTGTACAGTACGATTTTCCTTCATAAAACATGCTTCAGACTTTGATTTAAAAGATAACATTACTAACCGATACAATTAATATATCAACGCGAAGCACACAATTCGGCTTGCTTTAACTGAGTCTCAGGACTTAAGTGCGCCTCAAACGAACCATTGACAACAGCAGACGGGGTACCCAGAAGCTTCACCCTAATTGATTTTCTCACTGAAAATCCAGTTTCTTTTTGTAACGATCTTCTGCTTCTCGCTTATCTTTATAGATCTTTTTCATCAGTCTTCTTATCCCTAGTGGTACTGTCATCTTGAAGATCCTTTAAGATGATCCCCGGCACCACAAAGTTGGCAATCCAGTACATAAAAAGCATTACTGCACTGTCGTCACAATTTTCCAGAAAGGAAACAATAAGCAAACGCATTATCCTGGGAAAAACTGAAAACAAAGTGTACTTTATTTTCTCTAATCTAATGCTTGTAAAAGATTTGGTATTCCCATTATCCTATCTTAATATTAGGATATTGTTCTTAGAGGAGCCGAATGATAAGAATTTTTCAAATACAAGAACTTGTAAATACAAATAATTTAATTTTAAATATATACCACTCCGTTAGTTAAATTTAAAAGTTATTCGAATTCACACTTGAATTAGATGCTTCACTCAGTTCCAATTTGACAATACTTTTTGGATGGAAGGAATTATAATTTAAACAGAGTTCTCGTTTTGTGCAAAGTAAATATATAAGCTTTTAGATTGTCATGTTAAGTGTATTCTAACAGGCTGGTGAACATGCAGTGAAGACATGAGATTGGTCATTCACAATGGCAACACTGTCAACTTCTAGCAGGATAGGTGGATTCCTCATTCTGGTACTTACGATCTCAAATTTATGGGCCTCTTAACCTAACTGACATCAATATTAAGATTAGCAAACTGTTCAGAAATGGCATATGGGATTTTCATACTCTATCCTTTACCCTACCCACGGAATTGATCTATGCTATCCAGAGTGCTTATATTCCTTTAAATAGCGAGCACATGGATAAACCTATTTGAGGTCTGAACGCTAATGGTCTCTTCTCCACAAGCAAGTTCTGCATATCACTTTATAGCCTCCAAAAATACACTTACTGATGAACCACAAACTAAAGATTTTTCTTGGATCTGGAAACTTAGTACAACAAATAAAATTAAATTCTTCCTCTGACTCCTTCATGGACGTCTGCCCACAAATTCCTACCTGCACTCAATTGCTTTAAATACACCAAAGAACTGTTCACAAGTGCTGAAACTATTGGGCATATCTTCTTTGAATGCCCCAATGTAAACAGATTCTGGCTTTACGCCATCCTCAAGTCATCAGATCCCAGCTTAATTGGCTAAGCGTTGTTCACCATAAACGATTGGAACAACACTTGGTATAAGCTAGTATCAGTTACAACAATAATCTCCTATGGAGAGACATCAACCCATTCGGTTCGTGGCACTTATGGTTAACAAGAAATGATAACCGTATCGATAACAACAACAACAACAACTGCATTATAAGTACTACTGAGTACTCTCTTCTAACTAATACCAGCTCAAGACTTACTAACAAAAACCATCATCTATGTCAAATGGGATCCCCCAAAAAGAGGCTTCTATAAGCTTAATACCAATGGATCTTGCTTAGGCAATCCAAGTGTAGGAGGGATAGGAGGTTAATCCGTGACCACTAAGGTAATTGGGTAATAGGCTATATTAAAAGCATCCCTAACACCACTAAAATTAATTGCACTAATTTAGAGGCTGAAGATTGCGGTGGAAAATGCCTTACTTCCACTAGAAATTTGCACCGATCAACTGAGGTAATCAGACTACTTAACAATGGACATGAGACTTATAGTTCCATTACTCATGAATGCAGGTCAATGATACACCAACTTGGGCACCCTCTCATAGTGCATAGCTACCGGGAACAAAATAGAGTAGCGGATGTACTTGCTAAGGAAGCCGCTACAAGGAAACTTTTTGATAAAATCAAACTTTTGCTAGTTCCTCCCCTGTTTGCAAACGATCCGGTGTGGGCAGACATTCTAGGAACTACATTTTCAAGGGGAATTTCGGATAGTACTTCTTATGTGTCTGCTAGTTCGTTTCCGGACAATTTGAGGGGAAGCAATACCGCTGCTTGTATTACTGCTACTTAATTCTCCTTTTTGTTTCTATATATTATTATCCAGTTAATCACAAAAAAAAAAAAAAAAAAAAAAAAAAAAAAAAAAAAAGAACTCTGACATGGTATGGGAAGTAGAATAATTACCTACCGCAGCATGTTAAATTGCATTCACAAACTACATAAGTTATATTCTCACAGTATATATATAACTTAAATCCATCTCAATAAAATATCCGGAGTTGTATGCAGTTTAAACTTCAAAATCGGAAGAAAAAGAGGAATGAAAACAAACCTTGTCTGTAGCAAAACTGACAAGTCTCTCGGAGCAGCAGGTGAATTAGCCGCGGCTATGAAAAAGGAGGAGGAGGAAATAGGTATATCTACAGCCCTAAGCGGAGCAATTAACAGACTCCTTTTTTGTCCCTTTAGAAAGCCAGTAGGTTGGTGGTTTGGGAAACAAGACAATTTAGCATTATAATAATACTGCTGCTTCTCCAGTAAGCTATGAGCTGCTGGTTTTGATTTACGGTGCTGGCATTTGTATTTGCTGCTTGAATGTTTAGGTAAGATTGGGGAGTGAAGGCTGAGGCACTTCATTTTGGTGGAAAATTGAAGTCCTTTTTTATTCCATTAAGTGTGTGCAATTTAACAAGGAATATCTATTTATTTATTTTTATATATGGATAAGGTTTCAAGGAGTGAAGAGGAGAACAAATTTCTGATAATGGATAGTGGGCTTTATTTGTGGAAATCATGGAGGGCTTTATTTTGGGTCAAGGCCTGTCTAGTGCAAAACAATTGCACTAATATGACACTTTTTAGGATGGTCTTTTAACTTTTGACTTTTGTTTGTTCCATGAGCAAAATTTTAACATACAAAATTAAAAGTATTGTTTATGGGACAAGCAAGGGATAATAATTGTTAAACTTGAAATTATACCATAGACAAGCGGATCATCCACTTCGAGGGCTATTTGTACTTTCTCAACTAGTGTCTATCCATGAACATCATAAGTGGATCGTACGACCCAGTTAACTTTCTAACTTCCAAGTATGGAATTTGTTTTTTATAATGACACTTTAACATTAAACATACTATTTTTGGATAATGTAATTGGTTTGTTTCACCAACTAAAGACAAGTTTAATATGAATGCAATTCCTAGGTGTGATGAAGCATTTATCCGTGTGAATTATCCCGAGATGCTAGCTTCCAATGTGTGGACTGAAATGTCGCTGGAGAATTTTAATTTATGTAATACGAACACACTTACGAGACATAAAATTCAATAAGAATCTTTAAAATTTGAATACCATTTGCTAGTGGGTTATGCGAGGGTGTTCAAAGTTTATATTTTTTATTATAACAATAATATTTTATCATATACACAGTATAATTTTTCGGTAAAAGGTGTTCAGTTGACCACCCTTAATCACACATAGCTTCGCCCCTGCTTACCATCAAGTTCCTGAGTGACCTTTAAAGGTTCATGATAGTCATATGGCAAATTGTTGAATGTGTTAACAAAATTCCGGAATAATAAGATGTTGATAAGAAAAAAGTATACTAATATTGTTAGGGATATGACATTTTTTGGGGGGAAAACGTATATACTTGATTTAAAACGACCAGTGTTACACTATGTTAAAAAGAATCTCTCGTCTGACTTAACCCAAAAGCATAATATGTGGGACCCATAAATGAAACAAAGAAAAGGATTGAAAAGTTGAAGAAGCATATGGGCGGCTGAAGCCAAGTTGGGCGACTGATTCAACAATTTGCAAATTGTTGAATGAGCCAATTTGATTGGCTGAGAGGTTGGTAATTTTGCCTATAAATAGAGATATTTTCCTCTATGTTTAATACACCAAAAAATAAAGAGAGGCTAAATAGAAAGCAAAGCAATGAGAGTAATCCACAGATTGTTGTCTGTGAGATAAATAGTGAGTGGCAATATTATTATAGTGAGGTGTTTTAAAATAAAGAGTGTTACGTTATTTCTTTCGAAATTGTAGTAGCCTCTTGATACTACTAAGTTATAATATTATAGTGGTAATATTGCTCCGCTCAGGTATTGAATTTTACCCCGTTAAAAGATTTGATGTTATTGTTACTCTCTTGTATTATTATTATTTGCCGTGGATATTATTCCTGAACAGGATATATTTATTTTCCCAACAACGTGGTATCAGAGCCATAGAAAATAATGGTACACTGTCTTTTCAGTACCCCCGTCTCACAAAAGATAATTATGAGAAATGATGTCTACGTATGAAAGCCATTCTTAGCTCTCAGGATGTGTGAAAAATCATAGATAGAAGGTATGCAAAACCCGATATTGAGGAAGCTCTGCCTCAAAATGAAAAAGATGTCTTGGCAAAGACGAGAAAGAAGGAACAACAAGCCCCCACGCTCATCCACCAATGTTTGGATGATGACATGTTTGAGAAGGTGGCAGATGCTGCCACCTCAAAGGAAGGTTGGGGAATTTTATAAAATTCTCTTCAAGGAGTTGACAAGGTGAGGAAGGTAATATTTCAAACTCTAAGGGTTGATTTTGAAGTTTTAAAAATGAAAGAATCCGAAAGCATTTCGGATTATTGTTCAAAAGTGAAGGCTGTTGTACATCAATTAAGAAAATATGGGGAGGACATGGAAGATGTCCGTGTGGTAGAAAAGATCCTTCGCACTTTAACACCTAAATTTGATTTTGTGGTGTGTGCTATTGAGGAGTCTAAAGATTTAGACTCTATGCTGGTAGAGCAATTAGAGGGCTCTTTACAGGTCCACGAAGAAAAGATCAAAAGGAGACAAGAAGTGCCATTAGAGCAACTTCTTAAAACTTAGGCATCCTTCAAGGATTATGCAGGTGAAAAGAGCTATCGAGGGAATGGACGGGGGCGAGGCCGTAGCAGTCATGGAAGAGGAAGAAGCAATGGTAAAAACATCAACAATGAAGTTAAAATCCACCAGACAAGAAAGAAGTCAAACTCAAATATGTGAAGTCTCATGATTAGGCTGCAGATATCTTTACAAAGCCTCTTAAGTTTGAAGATTTTCAGAGATTGAGATCAAGTCTTGGATTGAAAAAGAAAAATCAAAATTAAGGGAGAGATTTGTGGGACCCAAAAATGAAACAAAGAAAATGATTGAAAAGTTGAAGAAGCAGGTGGGCGGCTGAAGCCAAGTTGGGCGGCTGATTCAACAATTTGCAAATTGTTGAATGGGCAAATTTGATTGGCAATTTTGCCTATAAATAAAGATGCTTTCCTCTATGTTTAATACACCAAAAAAACAAAGAGAAGCTAAATAGAAAGCAAAGTAGTGAGAGTAATCCACAGATTGTTGTCTCTGAGATAAATAGTGAGTAACATTATTATTGTATTGAGATATTTTAAAATAAAAAGTGTTATTTCTTTCGAAGTTGTAGTAGTCTCTTGACACTACTAAGTTGTAATATTGGTCCGCTCGGGTATTGAATTTTATCTCATTAAAAAATTTGATATTATTGTTACTCTCTTGTGTTATTATTATTTACAGTGGATATTATTTCTGGGCGGGATATATTTATTTTCCCAACATAATACGCTTTTGTCCCATAGTTCATCATGCCGATAGCACAAGTGATCATGATTCATACGCTGAGAATAGCGACGGGACTTTTAGCTGCTGCACCACTCAGCAGCAAGCTAAGGTCTGCAACGTTGGGCTTGCAGTATCTAATTAATATGGGAAATTGAGATAAATTTTATCACTAATTAAGTATAGATAGAAAAGTAGGAAAAATATCCAAGATTTGGTGTTTCAAATTTCATTTTGGTTGGTTAATTTGAAACACTTAGCACTGCAGCTTATTGTTGATTAAAAATGGGATTTGCTAGTCTTCAAATCTGATCTCGTTCCCTTGAGTATTGCCTAATGGGTTTCGTAGATCGTCTTTGCCTTATGTTTCGTTCCTAATATGTTTTGCTTTCTTTTTTTCTATAAGAATGAGTTCTCTTATTTTTCATGTCATTTCGAAGGTTAAGGTTTATGTCATCCTTAGTGTATTTGTTGGGCTATGGGTCGTGGGTCGCTACATGTGGGCTGACCCGACCCGGTTAGGAGAGATAAGTAACAGAGGTTAAGAGACGTTACTACTAAATTACAAATTTCTACTAAAATAAACGTGCAAAAAAAGGAGTGGTGGGTTATCTTCCTTAACCGCTATTACTCTGTCTATTTATGTTAAAGAGAAAACACATAACCTTTTTTTTAGCGTTGGAATTTTCTCTCTGACTAATCTTTTCTTCAAGCAAAACACACACAAGTTAGGGCATCTAATTGGTGAAAGATTAACTTTGTTTCCTAGTGATTCAAAGGTTGATTTGGGGTAATTCTTTTGGTGGTGAGTTCAACGGTTTCCGCCGCATCAATAAGATAAACAACTCGATGTTCTCGCCCCTTGTTTTTATCTAACAATATTTATTTGGATAATTCTATAGACAAATAGGTGTCTGGCTAAATTTCTCTATGACTAATCTTTTCTTCAAGCAAAACACACACAAGTTAGGACATCTAATTGGTGAAAGATTAACTTTGTTTCCTAGTGATTCAAAGGTTAATTTGGGATAATTCTTTTGGTGGTGAGTTCAACGGTTTCCGCCGCATCAATAAGATAAACAACTGGATGTTCTCGCCCCTTGTTTTTATCTAACAATATTTATTTGGATAATTCTATAGACAAATAGGTGTCTGGCTAAATCCCCATCACCTCAAATCAGTACAGTTTGGATACGTGAATGATTTTTAATTAATAAATAAATAAAAACACGTTCGAAAGCTAGTGGAGTAGTAAAAAGTGATATATATTACAATTTATCTTCTTAGAGGGTGTTTGGCTAAGCTTATAAGCTGATCAAACTGGCTTATAAGCACCTTTTGGCTTATCTACGCATTTGGTAAACACTCAAAGTGCTTATAAGCCAAGTGCTTATAAGCTAAAATCAGCCATAAGTCATAAGCCGGTCACCCCCAACTTATGGTTTTTCAACTTATAAGCACTTTTAGTTTGACCAACACTTTTACTAGTTTATCCTTAATAATATTTTCTAATTCACAAAATACTTTTCCAAAAATAAATTTCTTAACTTTCTCTTCATTCCATATTCGTTATTAATTCTTTTCTTTACAAAGAAATTTTTAATTTATAATCTTTTGAAAAAGATTCAAGGGTATTTTAGTCATTTTAACAAAAGAATAGCTTATCAGCATTTTTTAATCAAACACATCAACTGCTTATTATCAGTTTCAACACTTCTATCCAAACACGTAAATGCTTATTTTAAAAATCAGTTTCAGCATTTAAAAAAACTTTTCAGCACTACAAGCTTATCAGTTATTTACAATCAGCTAATCCAAACGGGCTCTTAATTTCATTTCTCTTGGCTTTTACACTTTTTATCAGACTGTGGAAAATGATTGTTTCACTTCTCTTACCCTCTTCTTATGCTTCCATCCAATTATATTATACTAACCTAGTAAAAAACATAACTAATACAGTAACGCACGATTAATTACATTGACTCCAATGTGAAAAAAGTTTACACTATTTCCTTAAATCCATAAATTATTGGTCTGGATGCCATGACCAACTCTTTATAACATTCTAAAGCAGTAAACACTTAAACAATATATAGTAATCTACTACAGTCGCTTGAAATTTGAAGTCAATCTAGAAGCAATACACGAGGAGAAAATGGTTGATACATGGAGTAGTACAATGTTGACCTTCCAATTAATAAAAGTACTATCCAGAAAAAGTACAACCACGGTTTTGTTTTCTTCTTCTTCTTCTTGTTCGTCTTTGTTTAATCTGTTTGGCAATCAATCGATATTTTAGTATTGCAAATACTAATAATAGGGAAGTTAAACTTATCATCAAAGAGATGAACATAGAAAGAGAACAAAATATAGAGAAGACATAATTAAGAGGCCCGAAATTCTAAGCCAATACCGTAGGAAGAGGTGAGAATCATATCATCATTTGATTCACCGTAAATTTAGCTGCATGTATTAATTGAAAATTATAATGCAACCTGCACCACAACATCAATTGAAAATATTTAACGTTTTCAACTGTCCCGCTCCTTGAGACTTAAATTTTCCTTAGCATATTTGTGTTCCCTACCTCTATATATACATGATGTAAGCTTCACTTCTCGTTGCCTAAAAAATAACGAGCTTTTTCTCCTCGTTTCAGTCCCAGCTAATTCAGAGATGATTAACTCTAAGCTTTTCCTTCTCTTGGTTCTATGTGCTTTTTTTTGCTTTCTTGGTGCCATGCAGCCTTTGTCTTCCGGGGCCGGCACCAAGGTACGTAAATTGAAACCAAAGTTACTGTCTTTTATATAAATAAGAATATAGTAATTTGTATAATTATCACTAATAAGGTTCCAATTATACTTTTTATTTTTAGAATTTGGTTGAGGCAGTTCGAATGAGTAAGTAAATTATGATAAACTTATTTACATTTAACTCCCTCTTCAATATCAGATTTTTCCTCTTGTACTTACATTCATCTCATTTTCCTATTTTCGATCATTTCATTTTCCAATTTGAACTCAATTTTCCTGAATTAGTTTTTTTCTCTTTATCCCATTTCATTGATTCATATATATACTTCAGAAGGCAAGGCTATTTGTTTGATTAGTATATGAATTTTATGAAATAAGTTTAAAGTTTTTTTAATTATGATTTGATTTTAGGCCATCAATTCTGCTATGCCGCCGCCGGTAAGCTCGAGGAACACGCTTGGGGAAGAGAAGTCATTTTACCATCCTGCTGCTTATGGTGGCGGTGGAGGCTCTGGTGGGGGTGGTGGTGAAGGTTCCGGGTATGGTTCTGGGGAAGGGTTTGGTGAAGGAGTAGGTAGTGATGGCGATGGTGGTAGTGGTGGAGGATATGGAGGTGGGGGTGGCGGAGGAAGTGGCGGAGGAATGGGAGATGGTTCGGGTTACGGTAGTGGGAGTGGTTATGGCTATGGTATTGGAACAGGAGCCAGCGGAGATGGTGGCGGAGGAGGAGGAGGAGGAGGTGGAGGTGGAGGTGGTGGTGGTATGAGCGGAGCTGATGGCACTGGATTTGGTGAAGGGGAAGGTTCTGGTGCTGGCTATGGAGGAGTTGGAATACCTTGAAACCCTAAGCTTTTGTTCATCAATTCTCCAGTAATAAATTGGGACATGCCCGTGACTACTGTCTTTTTCTTTTTTCAACTAATTTTCTTTTCCATCTATCTGTGTCTCTTCTTTGTTGTGGAGGTTTAATTTATTTAACTTTTGTTTCNGACAGAGACCTTGATTATGTCATAATTTTCTTGCTTTTTGTAACTATTTTAAAGAGCTCTGACTCTCCTAATGTCACCATCGTCCACCCTTTAAAAAAATTAATCTACGTATAAACTAAATTTTGGATTCCAAATGACTACTTGTTCATTCAAAGGCCATGTGCCTTTTGCTTGTTTAGGACCTTTCATTTAATAAATAACTGCATGTTTGTATTATAAGATATATTGTTCGATCTTTTTAAAATATTATTGTATTCTTATTGGATCTTTAAAAAATATATTATTTTTTGGAAGATTTGACATGCACCGATCGACCTTTTTGAGGAGTTCTATAAACATAGATTATAAAAACAACTTATTTACACCTGTATTACTAGTTAATCCGAAGTGGGGGATTTCCCCCCCTCTATTTTACATAACAAATTCCAAGGGCAGATTTTCTCATACTGAGAAGTTACATCGTTTTGACCTGCATTTTTTCATATGGATGGTCATGTAGCTTTCTTTTATTAGGAAAAAAAGGAACATATTTTTTCGTATCATGTGTGTCGAAATGCTTCTTTAATTCTTTAAAGTTCTTAAATTCTAATTATGATATCAATTTCCACTATTAATTATTTAAGGAAAAAGACAATGTGTAGCCGCTCTCAACATAATAGCCGAAAAAATATATTTGTTTTTGTATATATATATATATTCTGTATGTTATATATAAAAATTATACAAATCTTATATATTTTTTTGGCTATCGAATATAAATAGTTTCTAACGCGGGCTAAAAATACCCCATTTAAGTTTGTGTTGAGTGGACCCACTAAGAAAAATAAAATGTGATGTTTGAAAGGTTCTCCCAAAGTCCAATCCAAGACTCAAACAATACGTTTAATATGGCAAATATTTTGGCTAAAGGAGTCCATCTCACATAAGCATAAGCATATTTGCAAAGTGTAGACTTTGTTGACAATATTTTTTGGGACCCAAAAATATTGCATTGTGTGGTGGATATCATTTGCACAAGTTGTATCTTTTCTTTTACAACTAAGAGGCCAAGACTTTTTTGCCTATAAAAGAAAATGACATTAGTTTATTTTAAACACACCAACAAGATTTGAGTCTTTATTTCTTGTTTCTTCCTTTCCTCTTTTATGAAAAGTGTTTTGTACGAGAGTTAAGTGTTGGGAAACACTTGTGTGAACTCTTTCTTTGGAGTGATCTTGTGAGGTTATTCTCTCGGGGGTATTTGGGATTAATTAGAGTATTTATTCTAATTTTGTACTCTTATCGATATAGTGAAATTGCTCCTCTCCGCTTGTGGACGTAGGTCACACTGATCGAACCACGTTAAATTGATGTCTTCTTTATCTAGTTTAATTGTCGTTATTATCAACTTGCATTGTCTTTGTTATTGTCATTATAACGTTATTTGGCTAAATTACATGTTCCCGATCCTAACAGCACGGAGTAATAATTAATACATTCAAATAATATTTATTACTTCTCGACATGAGGGGAACAAAGTTTGCAAATTATGTAAGTTTGACCATAGTTCGTAGCGATATATTCTTCTATCAGATTCTTATAATTTTATTTTCAATTTTTTGAACTCCAAGCATGTAAAAGGTTAACCAAACAACACCCAGTAGAAACTTGAATCTGAAACGTGCTACAAATAGAATGCCATTGTTCATTAATGCATCCTTAATAAATTGATCTGTTTCATCAAGTGTTAATGCAAAAACTCTCGTATTTATTACACATGCAATTAATGGTGAAAATTTCAGTTTCGTCTTCCTCTTTTAATCTGCAGTTGCATACTCGATACATCCATAAATTGAACTCATTTTGTTGTAAATTCAGTACTGTACTATATATTTCTCCATACTTGGTCATTTCTGCAACATGTTCATAAAAGTAATTTATTAAACCTGCTACTGTATGCAGCTAAGTTGATCACTCAATTCCGAACGAAGGATCTTCTTTAGCTCACTAAAGAGTTTATTCTTTCAATTTATAGTAACGCATACAAAAATGGCTTCAAATTTCATGATTTTGTTGATTTTGGGAACTCTAATATATACTACTTCGGCTCGAAAGCTTATCGGATTAGGTTTCCCCGATAACATTCCACAAGTTACCGGCGGATTTGGCGGTGGAGGCGGCGGTGGAGGACATGTTGGTCCTGACGGTATAGACATTGGAGGAGGTATTGGTGGTGGGGGTTCAATAACTGTACCTGGAATTGGGTCAATTGGCGGCGGTGGAGGCATCGGGATAGGCGGAAGCATTGGCAGAGATGGATCAGTTTCCATCGGAGGCGGCGGCGGCGTAGGCATCGGGGGTCAAATCGGCGATATAGGTTTTGGCGGTGGACAAGGTTTGGGTGGTGGGCAAAGTTTCCGTGGATTGGACGATTAAAAAATCTTGATTTCTAATTTTATTGAAAATAATGAGTTCTATTTCAAATTATGGAGAGTATGGAGGGTTAATGAAAAATAATTAGCTATATGTTGTGGGAATGCAAACAAATTGCCACATGCCTTTTTTCCCCCCCTTTCTTTTTGTATAATTCCATCTCCGCAATTATTATGGAGTTTACTATAATGAATACTCCGTAAATAGATTTTTTCGATCTTAATTGATTCAAAGCAGCTAATAAATATCAACTAGTTAACAAACATAAGTGTTGAAATTAATATAATAAATAAATGGGGAAGTTTAGCAAATATCCATGCAGGGAAAATATTTACTCGCCCCTGCCGATCACTTTTCTCCCCTCCTGCCTATCCATTTTTTTTTTTAATATTCACGCAAATAAAGTCAAACTAAGCTACAATAAATCAAGCCAATTCAAGTCATGCCAAGCCAATTCAAGCCAAAGAAAGTCAAGTCAAAGCCAAATTAAGTCAAGCCAAGCTAAGCCAAATTAAGTCAAGCTAAGCTAAGCCAAACAAAAGCAGGCCAAATCAAGCAAAGCTAAGCCATACGAGTAAACAAAAGTTGGGATGGGTGGGTATGTAGGTGGGGGTAATTAATTTTAATTTAGTAGGTATATATTGTAAATAGTTTTCAAATTGGTAGGTATCCGTTAGAACCTTGTTTCAAACCTCCACAACACTAAAGACCTTTTAACTATACACCCGAATCAACAAGTCACAACTAACACAACCGGGCACACACCCCGCAAGCTAAAACTTAAGAAGCACATAACAAAAATGACTGAATATGTAAAGAAAAACACAGAAGAGAAATAATAAACAAACCCGACATGCACAACTCTCTAACCGTACCATAATACGAATCAATTTAAATAGGAAAAATCAAAGTACATGAACAAATCATAAGTATCTCATCCTGGTATAACTCTCCACCGCGGCACGTAGTCCGGCTCAAACATATCAAATCACATGAAATCGCGAGGGTCTCACCATCAACTCTGAATCACAAGTCGAATACATATCATACCAATGAAAATCTTTCACTAATTTAATTCTGCCAATAAAATCACAACACTTACTAAACTCTCACCCTAGTAGAGTATCAAATCACAAATCGTAACCAATTTACTCACGAAACTCATCAAACCTGTCATAATAGACAACATGAATTCACTTCTAGTCTCGTAACTTTCACTAATGAATAGAAACAAAAGATAGACACAACTATCACTCATATAATCTCCTAACATGGGCAAACACATAAACATGATACTAAGTCATGAGCTCAACCATAGGCCGGACAACAAATAGGGGAACTCGCCCCGATAAGCAGAACCGATTCAAAATACGAATGATGCCCCTCTGTAACAAATCAAAAGCATACATGGATGACATCATCTGGCGCAGTGGCCTCAAGCCTACTATATGAAACACATCAACGGGCCAGGCCTTCCCCTCTTGGGCGCCCTCTACTCGCCTGAATACTCCGTTGTGACACACCTGTCCGGAGTCTAGGACAATATCTCACCCTGTGGCTGGTATCTCCACACTCGAAGCAACCTCTCTGCTGACGTGGTTGTGGGAACTGTGCGGTACGAGTACTCTGAAACCTATGAGCACCTGAAATACTGTGTGAAGCCTGAAGTGCAAACTGAATTTGCTGACCCACAAAACCTCTACCATGTAGTACCCTGCCTCCAAAATAAGTACCAGTAGATCTCTATGGTCTACGAGGCCTCCTCACCTACCTGTCCTCTCTCTCCTGATATCGCCTGTACTCTCTCTCATGGCCCCGCCTGTCCTCTCTCTCCTGATCCCACATGCCCTCCACTCAGCGAGCGATCCCTACCACCTGCTGAAACGAAACATCCGACTCTAACTCCCAAGCCATGCTGAATCAAATATCAGTCCTGAGCCCCTCAATGAATCTACGAGCACGCTCTCTAACTGCGGCGACCAAAGAAGGTGCATGCCTGGCCAAATCACTGAATCTCACGGCATACTCTGATACTGACATAGTGCCATGGCGCAGCCGCTCAAACTCCGCGTGCCATGCATCCCGTAAGGATTGCAAAACGAAAACTTGAAGGAGACTCCGAAGCCTGCGAACGCAGCAACAAGTTTACCTTGAGTCTCCACGGCAACGACCCTCACAGCTACTAACGAACAAATACTTGGATCTGCACAAAAATGTATAAAAGTGTAGAATGAGCACACCACAGTGGTGCCCAGTAAGTATCAAGACTAACCTCGGTGGAGTAGTGACGAGAAAAAAGTCAATACACCCACTGGTCTAATAAACTGAACAAGTATAAGTATATGAACATCAAAAATATGATATTTATGTAAAGACTATGCAATATGGCTCATAATACAGTAATGGCAATAAGAAAGGAAACACCAAGTATCAGCAGAATACCATAAAAATGACATAGAAAAGTGAATGGAACACAACCTAAATCTAAAATCACAAATACAGTAGGGACAATTAATAACTCAGCAACTACAACCGCTTTTACATCAGGTTTTAGTCAACAAACTCCATGAGGTACCGAACCTCGAACAAATCACAACTCACGGGTATCAATACCTGAACCCTAACACTTGGCATCCTGTGTCCTCATAACACCTCATAACCGCACTGACGACTCACGTGCCAATAGAGCCATTCTCACATAGAAGGTAAGTAAGCAAGGGTGAGCATATATGCTCAACAATATCAAGAACACCTCTTATCCGATAAGAGTACTTAACTACGTGTATGCTTGTGCAAGTGTCCTAACATAGTCCATACCGGCAAATAAGCATAAGGAAAAAGAACGGACAACACGTAGAATATTTTCTCACAGCTTTCACAAGATAAAGCTCACACAAGTTAGTGTACCACTACACAATATCAACANTATATACTCCGCCTTTTCATGTCGCATGTGCAAATATTGATAGTAACAATGGCACGACAGAAACCTCGTGCAACCCCATAACAACAACCACACGGCAGAAACCTTGTGCATCATAATAACAACAACCGCACGACATAGACCTCGTGCATAACCACAATAAGTACAACAACAACAATGACAATAATACAATGATACGACAAATACGTCAACTCAGATATTCCAGAACATAAGGAAACAGAGGAAACTAATTCACAAGGAGTAGCCACAATAGAGAACAGTAGTCATAATAAGAACAGCTCAATAAGAAAGGAAATATTATGTAACAACGGTCCACAATGTACAGTTCGATAACGAGGGAGCTAACACAAGACGAATAATTCCAAATAAAGACAAGTCAACTAAAATATAGGATATCTAACTCCAATTAAGGACGCAGTATAAGGATAATCATTTGCCTCAATTAAGGATGAACAATTACAGAAGAGATAATTATAATTTCAGGTAAAGATAAGCAGTTAGGAAAAAGACAACATGATAATAGAAGAGATATAATTTCAGTTAAGGCACATATAAATCAAATGAACAACAAAAGTGGATCATGAAGCAATTAATTCCAATTAAAGCAGGTAGAAGTCAAACAGGAAATTAAGAAACGTAATCATAATGAGAACAACTGCATATTCAATGAATACAAGGACCTAAGAATCCTTAAAGGCCAATTTTCCACAAATAAGTCCGGGCATGTACTCGTCACCTCGCGTACACGGACTACAATTAGCATAGAAGACTCAAATCCTAAGGGGTAGTTCCCCACACGAAGTTAGGCAAGATACTTATCTCAAAAAAATAGACCGTTACTCAAAAATGAACTTCTCGAGTGAAATGACCTCCGGACGGCTCAAATCTAATCAAAATAATTTCAAAGAACAAATAAAACTCGTAAGAGACTATTCCGGATCATAAAGCCTCAATCTTTATCAAAATTTAAAAATTAGTCCAAAAGTCGACCCCCGGGCCCGTACCTCGGAACCCGACAAATTTCATAAAACCCGAATACCCATTTCGATATGATTTCAACCATACTAAAATCATCAAATTCCGATACCATTTCGTCCCTCAAATCATGATTTTTCATTTTTAAAATTTTCTTCAAAAATAAATTCCTTTTTCCCCAACTCAAAACACAAATTAAATGATAAAAATAAAGATAAAATCATGAAATATAATAAATTCTAGGTGAAGAACACTTACCCAATCGATTTGCTTGAAAAACCCACAAGGAATCGCTCAAAACCGAGCTCTAGAACTCCAAAAATGGTAAAAATGGCAAACCCTTAGAATAGAGTACTATTTATTTTGCCGAGGTGTTTATGCATCGCGAACGCGGAAGTGCAATCGCGTTCGCGAAGAAGAAAAATGAAAGCTGCCCAGTTGTTCTTCGCGAACGCGACAACACATTTGCGAACGCGACAACATGTTCGCGAACGCGGAGAGGAAAAGTCTAATGGCCCAACGATTACTCTTCGCGAACGCGTGAAGTAGTACGCGAACGCAAAGAGTGGAATGGCATAGCTACGCAAATGCGTGGGATGAACGCGAACGCGATGAAGAAAAAAGGCAGACCTTCGCGAACGTGAGAGTTTGAACGCGAATGCGAAGAGCAAATATTCCCTCCTTCAAAATAACTTATCGCGAACGCGGAGGAGCAGATACGAACGCGAAGGAGAAAAACCAGATGACAGAAACAACATTTCAAAATAGGAGAAAAATGACCCATAGCCCACCCGGAACACACTCAAGGCCCCCGGGACCCCGTCTAAACATACCAACAAGTTCTATAACCTAACACGGACTCGCTTAGGGTCTCAAATCACATAAAACAACGTCAAAACTACGAATCAAACTAAGAATCGAACTTATGAACTTTTAAATCTTCCAACTTCTAAAATTCGCGCTGAAACCTATCAAACCAGCCCGGAATGACGTCAAATTTTGTAGGCAAGTCCCAAATAACATAATGGAGTTGTTCCAACTCTCAGAATTATATTCTGACCCCGATATCAAAAATTCCACTTCC